AGATTTAGAATGAGAAATGACCTGTAAGCCTGCAGAGTGGTGTTAGTCAGAAATATTTTAAATAGTTGTGCCTGGCGAGGGCAGCCATTCAAGTACAGTGTGTGCTGTCTGCCAGAAGATGGTGCCCTAAAACACACTCTAGAATTGCAGATTTTAGAAGCTGCGATCAACTGCAAATGATAATTTTTAAAATACAGGTCAGAACAGAGTGATTTGCAAACAAATCACCCAAGTCCAAATACATATTAATGCTCAAACTTCATATTCCAAAATGTTGGCTTATACGTAAGAGTATTACAACACAAATTAACATACAGGATCCAAACATGCAAAACAAACCAATATAAACCCAATACAGCTACCACTTCAAAGAAAATCAAAGCTTCAGTCTCCCATCCCAACATATAAACACTTCTTTGCATAATTTTTTCATTAATTTCACAACTTTTCTTGGGTTTTGTGTTTGTTTGGGTTTGGTTTTGTTTTTTCTTTTTTCATCAGGCTTAAAACAGACCAGAGATAAAAGAATCATCATTTATGTTCCTTACCAAGAAACGGATCAATTTTAAAAGTGGAAAACAGGTGTAATTTCATTGATTTCTTAATGCTGGAGACAAAGAAATAAATTGCAAAAAAGCAGGTAGCATCCAGTTCAGTAGGCAAATCTGCAGAGCAGCTTCAGATTGCTCAGTTGATGAAGTGAGACAAAGAACTCCCTCCTGCATTGTGTCAGGTCTGATATAACACACACACACCACACCACAAGTCGGGGGATTTTTGCCATTGTCTTCACCCGAGCTGAAGTTTCCTCGGGGAGTTCTCACACTGACAGCTTCCCTGCCTTGCTGGCAATGAACTGTTTGCAGCTTGGGGAGCAAAGGCCCAGCAGTGGCTCTCCCTGCCCCTGGCCGTGGTGGTGCTCCCCTGCAGACCCTGGCAATCACAAGGACCAGGAGAGCTCTGCCTGGGAGCCCTGGCCAGCTGATATTCACAGATCAATAACTCCACCTGGCTGTTTTGCTCCCTTTTGAAGTCTTAGACAATGGAGTTTATTTAACAGAAGCAGCTGGCTTTCCTTAATGTCTGATTTATGGAGATAACTTAAAATCAGGCATAAGGATAACCACACCAAACCATGACATGAAGTTTAGCCTTAATAACACTCCCACAGCTCTTGTGCTCTTAGTTGCAGAAGTGTCAGTCTTTTTGCAGTATATACATGTTATTGCTGGTTGCTATAATTGAGCACGTATTTTGAAAATTAGGTAGGGAGAAAACCACATCAGGATTGTCAAGCTGTAACTACCCAGTATTTTGGATTTTCATGTATCTAACAGTGAAGAGAATGATGGAGCTGCTCAGTACAGCAACAGCAGCTGTAACTCCAGTCTTTTTTTGCACAGGCTGGTACAGATGGTCCTCTGTGAGCAATGCAGCAGTGCTCTGTGTGCTGTGTACCACTGCAGGCACGTTTACTCCACCTGTATGGCCCACACCTGGGGCTGTGCTGCACATAAATGTGAGTTTCCTCCTGTGTGTGACACAAGAACAGCTCCCTGGTGAAGAGGGGCCAGGAGCATTGCCCCTGCAGCAGGTACAAGATGGGAACACAGGACCAGGATGTTACTCACCAAGCATAAACTTTCTAACAGCAAAAGTGAGTGATTTTTACCATTTGATCCACACTGCTTACTAAAAAGGGCTGTTTCCTTAGACTCCCCAGTGTGTTTTTCCATGAGTTCATGCCCAACAAATTCCATGCTTTCATGACTCAAGTACCAATAGAGTTAGTGCAGAAACCTGCTGGCAGCAAAAGCAGCACAGAAGCTGAGCGGCCTCAAAAGGCAGAGCAAGGGCAGATTTGTGGCTCAGAAGGACAGAGCTACAGAAGGACACTGCTGCTGGAAGTGTGAGCTGCAGCTTCAGCTCTGCAGCTCCTGCTGTAAGGATACCTGCCCCAAATGCTTCCTCACATGAGCACATGGGCAGGGCTTCCCAGCATGTCCTTCCCATTCTGTCAGATTAGTAATAAAGCTAGCAAATGTTGTAAGATTAAATAAAAAACCAACCAGACAAACAAATGGAGAACAAAACAACAAAAAACAAACAAAAACCCCAAATAAGAAAGATGCCCTGAAAACAGAGTACATTTTTTTGACATGTGATCTGATAGGCCAACCTCCCAAGCTGTGTATGAGCCTCTCCCAGTTTCTCAGGAAGACAACCTTACAAAAAAGGACACTAAGTGGTGCTAAGTCAGTAACAGGAGGGAACAGCCTCACACAGGCCCCAGGAACGACTGAAGGAGCTCTGCAGCAGTACTGGAGGGCAGCAGGTCACGAGGTGCCCACTGCCACAAACAAACTTCATCCCAGGTGGGGCAGGTGAAGCCTCAAGGTAAAGGTGGTCTCCATGTGCTCAGTGGGAGGGAGCTCTCTTTGTTTGTGGAAGGGATGTGTCCGTGTGGAAGGGATGTGTCCATGTGGAAGGGATGTGTCCGTGTGGAAGGGATGTGTCCGTGTGGAAGGGATGTTTCCGTGTGGGAGGGATGTGTCCATGTGGAAGGGATGTGTCCGTGTGGAAGGGATGTTTCCGTGTGGGAGGGACATGTCCGTATGGAAGGGACGTATCTGTGTGGAAGGGATGTGTCCGTGTGGAAGGGATGTGTCTGTGTGGAAGGGATGTTTCCGTGTGGAAGGGATGTGTCCGTGTGGGAGGGATGTTTCCGTGTGGGAGGGATGTGTCTCTGTGGAAGGGACGTGTCCGTGTGGAAGGGACGTGTCCATGTGGAAGGGACGTGTCTGTGTGGAAGGGATGTGTCCATGTGGAAGGGACGTGTCCATGTGGAAGGGATGTATCTGTGTGGAAGGGATGTGTCTGTGTGGAAGGGACGTGTCCGTGTGGAAGGGATGTGTCCGTGTGCCACAGCTGACAGCTCTGTGCTGACCACTTCACCGGGGTCTGTGGCTTGAATGCTCCAGGGACTGGAGCTGCCTCTGTGATTCCCTCACAGCCGGCGCACATTCCCCAGCAGTGTTTGCTGCTCATCCCGGGAGCAGGAGCAGCGGGGGACTGCACAGGACACCCTGCTGCACAGGTGCCTCCACCATCACACACCTGCGGGCTGCGGCTGAAATGTAACTTGTTCCACAAGTACCACACGTGGTAACAGCTTGTTTAGGAGATGGGCAAAAAGTGCAATGAAAGACGTGAACACAGAAAAGAGCACTTGATTCCCAGGAGTGGTGGTGTTTGCTTGTGTACGTCCACATGGACGTGGACTGCCTCTGTCACGCCTAACAGGTCTGTTTTTCAGGTCTTGCCCTGCACATTTACATGGTTTGTTGTATTTTTTTTTCTGCCGCCCCTGCACACACAAGAAAACAGATTGCCAGTGAATTGCCCTCCACTGCTGGGGACCTTTTTGAGTACACAGTTACTTTTAACGTTTAATTAGGTCTGATAACAGAATAAAATGTTCTTGGCACAGCAGAGTGCCTATAGCTCAAACCTGAGCTATATTTCTCTCCTCTCAGGGTGGTCAGCACCCAGCAGTGTAAGGACACCCGTCAGATACCTGTTGTTAGGGCTTTGTCAGCATTTCTGCCATCAACACAAATGATTGCCAGGGAGCTGCAGCTCAGTTGCAAAAAAACAAAAAACCAAACCAAACAAACAAACAAACCCCCCAAAAACCCCACAAAACTGTAGGCTACTGTTTAGCACCGAGGGTCTCGTTCGCTTGCCGTTTTGAGGGGTTGTTTTCTGACATCCCTCCCCGTGAGCACACAGATGTAAATCGCAAGCGGCGCCGGGGTGTTCGTCACCCATCAATAGATGAAGCTCTTGCAGTCACACGCACAGTAGCTGCTTTTTTACACTCCCGTCAGCTCACAGATTGCTTTAGGCCACAATATGTTTATCATATGTCTTAACGCTGCCTTTTTTTTTTTTTTAAGACTTAATAAATAACTGGCAACAACCCTCAGCTGCCGTGCTACAAACACAAGTCCTTTCAGCGGAGGCACCTGGCCGGCGCCGGGGACTCCGCACAGGTGCGGGGCTGCTCCCGCCCTCGGCCCCCGCAGGATGCCGGTGTTGGTGAGGGCAGCCCCGGCCGCAGGTGGGGCACAGCCGCCCCTTCCCCACGCGGGATGAGGCCGCGGCTCCTGCCGGGAAGTTCCAGCGAGGGACGGCGGAGCCCCCCCGTACCGGGATCCCGAGCGCTCCGAGCCCCGGCGGGGACCCCTGGCTCGGTGACAGCCCCGCGGCACCGCCCGCCGCCAGCCCCGGGCCGGGCGCGGCCGGCCCAGCCGAGGAGGGAGCTGCCGACCCCGCCGCCGAGCAGCGCCGCGGCCGCCCTCTCCCTGACTGACTCGGGGAAAATCATTGTTTGGCTCCGGCATTAGCTACATTCCAGCGGGACGCAGCGCCCAGTCTCCTTCCTCGCATTCCTGCCCCACACAAAGGAGTCCCTGCCTCGCCGCGCCCCGCGCCGCGCTCGCCGCTCCGCAGAGCCCCTCCGGGCCGGCCGCCGCCTTCACCCCGCCCGGGGGAGCGGGCGGGCCGCGGCCCCAACGCGGGGCGGCCGCCGGGGGCGGCGGGGGCAGGGACCCGCCGAGCGCAAATTCCTCCGCGCAGCGCGCCATTGACTGGACCGAGCAACTTATTTAAGGCTGGAAAGTGACACAGGGGCGCCTCGTCTGCGCCGGCCGCGCTCCGCCGGGCAGCCCGGCCGCACCGAGCCCAGCGCCGCGGCGGGGATGCCGCCCGGGTGACCGCCCCGAGCCTGAGCCCGGCCGCCGCCTCGCCGCTCTCCGGACGAGGAGCCGCGTCCGCCGCTGCCCCGCCAGGACCGCGGGAAGGGGCTTTCTTTTGGGGTGCTTTTTGTGTTGCTGGATTTGGGGATTTTCTTCTTTTTGGTTTTTGGCTTTTTTTTTTCTTTTTGGCTTTTTTTTTTTTTTAACTCTTCTTTCCCCGCTCCGGGCTGCGCTTTACGCGGAGAGTTCACCGCCCTTCTCCGCCCCGCGCCGCCGGGCTCCGGCAGAGCATGGAGAAGTACGAGGAGGACATGGCACTGAAGGCCACCAAGTTCATGGAGGACCTGTCCCTGTACGAGCCCTGCCCGGAGGGTCCGTACGGCCGGGGCGGCCGCCGGGACTTGGTGCTGCACCCCGACCTGGAGGAGACCAAGCGGGTCATCGCCGCCCACATGACGGCGGAGCAGCGGGGCCGGAAGATGAACGGCACCGCCGCGCCGCCGCCGCCCGCCGAAGGCTTCCCCGCCGCCGCCCCCTGCGGCAAAGCCGCCCCGCTCCGCGCCAACGGCCGCGCCGCCGCCGAGCCGCCGCCGGGAGCGGGCCCGCCGTGCTGCGAGGAGGGGCTGTGCACCCGCTCCGAGGTGGCGCTGCCCTGCTACAGCGGCTTCGCCGACAAGGGCAAGCGCTACTCGGCCGAGGGCTACCGCTACGCCGCGGGCAGCGCTTACGAGGGCGGCTACGTGGCCAAGGGCGGCGGGCGGGCGCCCGGCGGTCCGGACGGCAAGTTCGGCGCCGCCAGCCCGCGGGCCAGCCTGGCCGCCGCCGCCTCGCCGGGCCCCGCCGCCGAGCACGGCAAGTTCTCCAGCCCGCGCTCCAGCCTGGGCGGCGCGGTCGCGCTGCCCTACGAGAAGTTCTCCAGCCCCCGCTCCAGCCTGGTGGTGCCCGGGCAGGACAAGTACGGCAGCCCCCGCGCCAGCCTGGTGCAGTACGACGGAGCCGCCCTCAGCCCCCGCTCCAGCTACGCCAGCACGGCCAGCGACACCAGCAAACACTCCAGCCCCCGCGCCAGCCTCACCGGCTACGACGGCGGCGGCAGCAAGCCCAGCAGCAACCGCACCAGCGGCATCAGCATGGGCTACGACCAGCGCCACGCCAGCCCCCGCTCCAGCACCGCCAGCCAGTACTCCTGCACCGCCAGCCCCCGCTCCAGCTACTCGGACTCCAGGTACGGCCCGCCGGGCAGCGCCGAGCCCGAGGGGGCGGGCGGCACCGGGCTCGCCCTGGCCAGTCCCCGCTCCAGCCTGTGCGGCCCCGAGGGCCGCGGCTCGGCCGGCCCCGCCGTGGTCAGCCCCCGCTCCAGCATCTCCAGCCAGAGCTCGCGGAGCTCCCGCGGCTCCATGAGCGCCTACCCCGAGCTGCAGCTGCCGTCGCCCCGCTCGTCCCTGCTGGGGCCCGGCCTGCCCGAGGACGGCGCCGTGCCCGAGCTGGGGGACGTGTACCACCGCATCCATGCCCAGTCCCCGCCGCGGCACGACCCGCAGCACCCGGCCGGCGCCCCCGAGCCGCCGCCCCCCTACGCCTACAGCCCCACCAAAGGCTCCGCTTCGGCTCCCAAATTCAAGCTCCCCTACCAGGTGACGCCGTGCCGGGAGAGCGGCCCCAGCCAGGCGGAGAGGCGGCTGGAGGCGCTGACGCTGGAGCTGGAGAAGGAGCTGGAGATGCACATGAAGAAGGAGTACTTCGGTGAGTGGGGCGGGGGGAGCGGGCGGCTGGAGGGCGGCGGTGCGCGGGGCCTGCCGAGCCGGGAGAAGGCGGGAGTGCCGTGCCCGGGGCTGCTCTGGACCAGGTGCCTGCTGGAGTCTCACATGGCCACAGACACTGTCTGCTGTCCGAAGCGCTTGCACCGTAGTTCACTCCCGGTATGTGAACTCTATCCCGTCTGTTCCTAACGCGCTGTGCCGGGATGTGTGCTGCTTCCCTTTCCACGTGCGGCTGGGAGATGAGTGCCTGAAGTGTGGGAGAGCTGCTTGTGCACCGGGGCTTGCCGTGACTCTCGTTTGTCTCCGTTCCTCACGGGCTGCTGAAGCTTCTCTGCTAGCCTCCAGCATCCCAGAGGATGTGGTGTTTGCGATCCTCAGTCTGTGGTAACTTTTGTAGATGATGAGTATGGCTGGTGGAGCAGTTCTCAGTGCCTGGTTCAATGAAATCTGTGTTAGTTCAGAGCACCTGTGGGAGCCCAGCATTGTTCCTGCCCCGCGAGGCCTCGCAGGGTCTGCTCAGCACACAGGGACATCCCTGGGACCGCAGGGGAGTTTGGAGCAGAGGAGCCCTCGGCCCTTGCTGAGGTTAAGTCGGCCTGTTGGTCACCTGAATTTTTGTTGCTTTTTTTATGAAAGAAAAGTAACTTGAATTGTGCATGTTCTTGAAATGTGGATGAGCGCACGTGTTTTATAGCCACAGTAGTTAGGAGTAGGCTCCTCTGCCTTTACTTTGTACTGGATGGCAAAGGCTAAAAACTCCTGTGAGAAGCTGATCTCGGGGTGTGCAAATGCTGCCCTGGCTCACAGAGCTGATCCCGGGGTGTGCAGATGCTGCCCGGGCTCACAGAGCTGATCCCGGGTGTGCAGATGCTGCCCTGGCTCACAGAGCTGATCCCGGGCGTGCAATCCTGCCCTGGCTCAGGTGAGCGCAGCTCCGGGACCGGGCAGCCTCGGCAGCAGCTCGATCGTTCCCTGCTTCAGCGTGGAGATCTCGGAGCTCCTGCAGGGCAGGGAGGAGAGGCCTGGGAAGGTGAGGATGAGCCAGCCCCATCCGAGGCCTTTGAGGGAATGGTGATCTCCGTGCTTTGTGTGCGTTCCCAGTGAGGACGGAGCCGTGTGTCACCGGTCCCTGGCTCGGTCGGTGCTTTTGGCACAGCACCGGGTGCTCTGCAGGGAAGGAAGGAGCTCCAGGGCTGCCTTCATTGTCTGGGAGAGAGACCAGCGCCGGCCGGTGCAGGTAGCTAAGTGAGCAGCAGCCTCTCTAGCAGGGAAACCTCTCTGCAAACTGCAGCGCCAGAGTTTCTCCAGGCTTTTGTGCCCAGACAAAGGAGGCTGAATGCAGCGCTTACTGCCTTCCCTCATCCGTCCTGGGCTGATAAGGAAGCTGATGGATCACCGAGGGATGTTTGCAGTGCTGGCACCTGGCTCGGTGCTGGGGGCAGCTGTGGCTCCCTTCGGAGGGGGCAGGAGCGGCGTGGGGTTTGTAACACACGAACAGCGGCAGGAAATGTTACCCTCAACATGCCCGGGGTCAGGAACAAAATGTAAGAGTAAGAACAAGTTACCTGTGCTGAGCCTCTGGGACGGGTTTCCAGTGGCCTGGGAAAGCTGAGGGTGCCATCAGGAGCTCCAGGAGCAAACATGGGGAGTCTGTGTTGGGGATAATTTTTGTGTTTCTCAGAATTGGCTGTTGCAGATGCTCCCGGCCTCGGGGGGATGCTCCCAGTGCAGGATGAGCAGTGCCTGGGCCTGGGCAGCCTCTCTGCTGCTCTGGAGGCTCCTGCTGTGGCAGCACTGAGGAGCCCTGCTGTGACTTCCAGCCTGGAAGCAGATGAAACCCAGAAATCTGGGCTGCTTTGGAAGAGAAAGTTGATTTCTGTGAGCTGCTGAAGTTTGGATAAATCCTGGTGGATTTGAGCCCATCTTTTTGGTTCAGATGATCCATGTGGGTGAATGCTGGGTTTTGACTGAGCCAGTGCATGAGAGGCTGACAGGGCTGACCACAGCCCTGGGTGAGAGTGAGGACAGAACAGGGAGAAGTCTGGTTTTAGTTTGACTTTGAGGGTGTCTTAATAAAAGGAAGCAAGGAAAATGCCTTGATTTCACTGCAGTTTGTCCATGCTGCAGCTGTGAGGTGTCTGCATGGCACTGGTGAGTGGCACTCCAGAGGCACTGGTGGGTGTTCTTTGGTGCCTGTGGAGAGCAGAAGTGTTGAGCCAATGGTCCAACAAGGTAGAGGGGACAGAGATGCTTTACTGCTTCTTAATTAGAGTAGCTCAATTGTCTTATGAGTAAGTGCTGATATGAGAACAGCAGGTATTTACTGTGCTCTGTGTCCTGTCATCATGATGTTGTTGTCTGCCCCCACACCCCCAGTAAAATTAAAAATGGAGCAGTGTGCTATTTTGGAACTGAGGTGAGGGGACTGGCCAGCTCTGCTTGGAGCAGGAACAGCCCTACCCTACCCTGCCTCCATGCTGGCTGTGGGTCACTTTGTGTGAGTGTGGTGCTGGCGGGCCCTGGCTGCTTTCCCACCCCTCCATCTCTGCTTCAGGAGGGAGCTGTAGCCTGGGACAGGTAAACATGAGATGGGGGAGAAGTGCAGGGTCTGATCTGCAGAGAGGTTCTGGGGGAGCCAAGCCAAGCAGGGTGCAGCCCTCAGGCCTCCTGTGCTGCTCTGCAGGCTGGCAGTGCTGTGCTGGGAGCTTTGTTTTTCTGCTCCAGGTTCTCCACCCTCCCCTTCCCTCTGCCAGGCTGCAGTGCATCTGGAGGAGAAGGAAGATGCCCCCTCCTACCCTTGGTTTAATCTGAGTAGAGATGCCAGTGCTGCCAAAAGCAGGGCTCTGCATCTGCCCAGTTGCACAGGTGAGGCACAGCACCATTCCAGCTCCATGTGCTCCCACCAACACCTTGCAGCCACCTGCACTCACTGATCTGACAGAAACCAAGCCTGCAGAGGGGGAGGGAGAAGAGGGAAGGTTGTTTGGGGCTGGATTGGTGAGTTGCTCCAGCTCATCCTTGTCAAAGAGATGGCTGGGGCTGACCAAGGGTGCAGACAGACCCTTCCTTTGGCAGCAGCTGAAGTGGGTGAAGCTGTGAGACTTTGTTCCCTTGTAGCTCCTTCCTCAACTCTCTGAGACCCCCTGTATGGCAGTTTGGGAAATGTGCTTGCTTTAGTGGCAGATGCTGGGAAGTAAGGTAATAACAAAGTACTTTCACTCATTTTCATAACTCTTTTGAGCTGATCATTGACATGAGGTGAGGTAAAAGTTGTTTCAGGCATGTTTTTTAAATGGAATGTTCATCCTGAGGTATCAGCAGGACTTTGGTGGGTGTTGGAAAGTCATGAGCTCAAGCACTGTCTTAAAATCTGTTTTCTTTGCAGAATACTTGTCTGATGTCTAGGTGCTGGAAAAAAGTGTGAGGTAAAAGTTGTATTTTGGCACATCCATCCAAGTCATGCATCCTTGTGGGACTGACTGTAAACCTGTTGCTTGTCACCTGCCAGGCATGGAAAGGTGCATGCTGAGCACTTGGGCTGTTTGGCTGCTATTTCTGCAGCAGATCTCTGTGCTGGAGTGGGGTCAGCAGTGCAGGGGGGCTGCAGGGGTGCAGTCAGACTCTGCTGCAGGGCTGCAGTCACTGCTGGCAGCCCCTGCTGTGCTGCAGCCATCCCCAAGCAGGGCTCTGTTCACTTTGGCCATGGGGATGGAATCCAGCCCCAGAAGCAGGGGTGTCTCAGGGGGGACACAAAGCCTGGATTAATTCTGTTAATAATGCACTCCTCAGCTTGGCACAGCCCTGCTGAGTGGCCTTGAGTTTTGGGAGCTCTCTCTTCCCAGAAAGCCATCCAGCAGAACCAGCACATGTTTGCTGGAACAGCACCAAGAAGCAGTGCTGATAACATGGTGCTGAAAAGCCTCTGGCTTGGCAGGGGAGGGAAGGGAAGACTGGGTGAAGGGAGGAAATAAATCTCTAGGCCTATCCAGGCCCTCTCTGCCCTTTTTGTGCATAGTCATCCATGTAAATCTGGATTTGAGCCCTGCAATATGCTCATGAATTCAGAGTTGTATGTTTGTGCTTGTTCTGTGTGTGGAGGTTGATATGATGGAAGGGTGTTTATGCAAGTGAGATCAAGATTAAGACAGGTAACAGTGGTAAGTCTCTAAAAGCTGTATTGCACAGAGAGGAAATTTGAAAATTTGAATGAAATTTAGATGAGCTTGCAGTTGGTGAGCAGAACACTTGAGAGATTTGCTGTGGAGTTCTTTCCAGTCTTAGGAATTCCTGAAGGTTTCTCTGTGAAATATCTGTTCTTTCCTGTTTCCATCAAGTAAAGGTGTAATGATTGATACATCATGCCAATTGGGGGGATAAGCAGATGTTTATTATCTGGTAATTACTTTCTATTTCTCTTTTGCTGGGCTTAGAAATTCACCCAGTGTTGGTAAGCAGTTGATGTCCTCCAGCATTTGCAGTTGGGGCTACCTGGGGAAAAAATTGCCTTTGATAGGCAAACACTTAAACAGAAATGAACTCCCATGGTGGGTCCCTGCAGTGCTCAAACAGGCTGTGTACCTCAGAGTTCTGCTTTTTTATAATCTCCCCATTACAGCTGGAGAATGCATTGCTGAAGCTGATTTGAGAGTGGTCAGGCTTTTCTGGCCAAAGGGCAGGAAAGGCTCCAGGGAGGTTTGTGCTCAGGGGGAAGGGGCAGAGGAGCTGCCCTGGAGCTGCTGGGGTCCCTGTGGGGTGGCAGCATCCTCGTGAGCCTCTCCCTGAATGAGGCAAGGAAATCATGGTCAGAGTGATAAAATGTGTAGCTGGAACATCATCCAAAGGCAGGAAGGAGTTGGAAGGTGGGGGGACAGAAGGAATTACATGGAAAATGCATGGGATAACACAAGTGTACAGAGCTGGGAAAAGGAAATTTGGTCTGTGGCATTGAATGTGCTGTGAGGGATGCTCCTGAGATGGCTTCTT